ATTATAGAATAAATTACAAAAAAAAACAATAATAATTAATTACATTATTTCTAGGCTAGTAAGCAGTATGAAAAAGTAATAATGTCCAATTCGAGCAACAACAGCAACAAGTGAACAAACTGAATGTCTGAATGATTTTGAAACTACAAATGGTTAAAGCGTTCAGTCTTCACATACTTTTGGCCATATAGTGTATTTTGTTAGTAATTACTTTTGAGCTGGATGATATACAGATAAAGATTTTTAAGTGGTTTTGTAGAGCATTGAGAGTCAAAAGACTGTGATAGGTTTGAGGTTTTCACTGTTGCTAGAGCTGGTTTAAACGGCTATGAGTGAACGTATGTTGAGCGTATGGAAACATGTGTCTTAAGATGCCCTGTCTAAAACATGCTCTTAGGAGGTATTCAGCACATCAGCCCTGATCCCATGAAGGCGGTGAGTGAAGCCATGGACGACTCTGCCGATTGGATAACGTCAACCTTGAGTTTTATGACTAATTTGCTAGCACCGGAAGAGGAGGAAGCGGAAGGTATATTAACGTGTAGCCTTCATTCAACATTAGCAGCACGATTCCATAACAAAGTGTTTACTGTAATATCAACAGCATCTCAGAAACCACAGACTAACCCACAGCGGCTTGATCTGATGAGCCATGTGTACTAATAGGTCTTATTAGAAATCTGAGCTGGCTTTTATGGTCACGTTTTCCCCCTTCTACAGAAAAAAAACCTGCTTTAAATGGTTTCCCAAAGGGATTAAAGAATATCATGGATCATTTTTTGTGGCAATATTTTTTAATTCAAGCAATCTATATTCTGACATATTATCACAAGATCAGCTAGAAAATTCTAAATGATGTGTTTCATAACTAAGAAATATTAAAGGATGGGTTATTGTTTTATAGTTTTACACTTCAACGAAGAGTTTTGAGAAAGAGGACGAGGAACTGTCAACCCTAACTCTGTGCCACATGTGTGATTCTATAAAATAATAAAAATCAAACAAAACCGTATCACATCTCTGTCGTTAATCTCTCACATCAAATCTTCTTGGTTTCTTTTGATAATATAGTTATTCAGTGTTTGATTCACAAAGACTCACACATACTATACTTGGTAAAATTGATTTAAAAATATTTTCATTTATGTTTATTCATTTAGGAGATACAGTACATTCATAAACTCACGGATAAGAATGCAAGCATTAGCAATTGATCCAAAGGGGACAACATAAGTAATGCTTCTGTACAGAATTTAATTTAAGTACTAGGATAGTATATATAGAGAATAGATTACATTATATTATAAAAAATATATATTATAATAAAAATAATAATATAAGAAGGTTATAAAGATGGCTAAAGTTTTGTTCTGTGGTTTGAATGAGGATAAATATAAACAATGTTATTGATCATGTTTGTTGTCTGTTTTCAGGGAAAAAAATTAAATGAGACAAAATGATGTGAGTAAAATTGAATAAGACTTTATAGAATAGAATATACCTTACATCTATTTTCTCACGTTACTGTTATTTTAAGCAAATCTTTCAACAAAATATGATGATGATTAGGGCTGCACGATGTTCATATATGATCGTGGTTTAGCGCAGCTTGTCAGTGAACAACGGCTCTGTGTAGTAAATGCTGCTCAATGTGAAAACACGCACGTGATGGAGATTTACCGCTGACTACAGAACCGGCTTTACTGACAAGATGCGCATTAAATATCGCATGCGATTTATCGTGCAGCCCTACTGCAGATGGAATAAACGATGATAATAATAATAATAATTTCATTCTCTGAAAATAATTTTTTGGCCTCTCAAGAACACTGGAAAAAGATGGTGTAGAAATAATTTCCACTCAAAATTTGCTGGTGAATTTCACAATTAATTAAAAGAAACAGCATGAAGTAACATTAAATAATTAAACATGAAATTCTGAAGTAGAAAGACTGAAATAGAATGTTTTTGTAAAAACTACTTCAATAGTTTTTATTTATCATTTTTGTTTGATATTATCATTTTATTCATATTTATGACTTTTTTTTTACATTATAAAACATTGCTTTTAAGATATATATCCTCCTGAGAACCAGAAAAAAAAAGCTTTGTGAATTTAGTATTTTTTCATGTCATTACATTGTTTAGAGCATAAGCAAAAAATTTAAAAATAACATTTTTGAAAATTTTTATTTTATTCATATGTTATGCTATGTCCTCTGTAGAGGACACCAGGACTCAGTTTTTCTAAAAAAAAAAATGAAATGACATGAATAGACATGAAAAGGCAAAAACAATGGGATTTGTTTTACAAATCACCAATCAATTTTTTAGGTTTCAGGATTTTTTTTATACCAAACTTTGTATAAGGATGATTCTCAAAAAAATTATTTGATATACCTTTTTACTTTATGCAATATGTGTGTAAAATTTCCATAAACTTGTTTTCCCATTAAACACAATGCTATCTATACACTGTACCTAATTTGCATATTAATGTGTAATAATGGGAGTAATAATTGGCCAGATTTTCATAATAATATCTAATATGCAATATTGATATTTCCTATTAATTTGTTGTATCTCCCAAAATGCATAATAAACATGCTTTTAGTCCTGATGTCCTCTACAGTGGGCATGTATGAAATCAATATCCTGTTTCATAACAGGAAGTCATATTTTGGTTTGAACCCCCATAACATTTTCCCGAGATGTTAATTTACGACACACAATTGGAAAATTAATTTGAATAATTAATCATTATATTAATGATTATATATATAT